TTCAGCTCATTTGCTATTCAGCAGACCATGGATTTTTCTAGGAACATCAGCAGATGCTGGTCACGAGGGGCTGCATGATAGAAAGTGGGAGAATGCCCGGGGACTGAAGAACATTCTTATTCTCCCTCTCCCTGGGGAATGTTGCTCCATGCTACAGGAGATGCAATCCTTTTTAGTCCATGACCCATGAAAAAGTCCCAAGCTCCAGCTGCTGTTCCCACAGGAACAGAACTGTCGGGTTGTTTCCCCTCCACCCCAAGTTGTGAGGTGGAGGGATAAACATGTAAGTGCTTTTAAAAATAAGAGCTATATGTGGCTTTGCTAATTCTTCTCACATGGGCCACCAAGGAGCCACTGTGTGGTAAATCCCATTCAGCCATGGGCCCCCCCTCCCCTGGCTAGGGCTGGGGCTGGGCTGGTGCCCTGGACACTAGAGGCTGATGCTGATGCCTTGAGCCACCAAAGAGGGTCAGAGGGGGGCTCCTCCTTCTCCCCCTGTTCTCCCCCACTCCATGGAGCTCTCCCATCAGGGAAGCTGATGGGAGCAGTTTGTTCCAGTGCTGAATAATGCACAGCTAATCCCTGAGGATGAGGTTTCAGGAGGGATGGGATTCGTTTTGGGTAGTCAGACAGCTGCAGTTCTCAGGCTGGTGGTGGTTCTCTGTGTAGCACCTCTTAGCAGGAGGATGAGCATGTGGTAATAGTTGTTGTTGTGTTGTTTGGGGGACTGGAATGAAGCTGGTGTGATCCTGGCTGGCTGCACCAGGGCCAGCTTCCCTCTGAAACGTGGCAGATGGGGCAGGGAGAACCATTTAGGAGCAGTGCTGAAAGCAAGGCTTAGAATGAGCAATGCTGAGTAGAGGGGAGGAGAGAAATGCTAAGAATAATCCATGGAAGTGAGAAAGCATTTCTTTTTGAGCTAAAACCTGCCCCTGGGGATGTAGCCATGTGTTGTGTTACACAGCAGCCCCCTTTGAAGAGAGCAAGGGGAGACTGAGGTGATTTAAGGAGGGCAGCGTGTTGTGTTGTGCAAATGATCCAATCCTTTATGTTCTCCCTAGTCCCTAGCTGACCATTTTAGGTTTTAAACAACATTATGCAACATCCATTCCCTCCCGACAGCTGTTTAGAGGCTGCTTCTTCATCTGACATTTACTGCATGCAGAGATCTCAGGATCTGCAGCCCTGGCTGTTGGCTTAGGAAATCCCAGCTCCCTGCAAAGGATAAGCAGGTCCTGGTCGCTGCTGCTGACAGCCCAGGGACAAAGCCAAGCCAGCTCTGCTCTGTGCCTTCCTTTCCATTCCCCCTTGCTCCATATGGATTCCCTCACAGGGTAATGTGTTCCATTGCTGTTAGACACTGCAGGAACCAATGCCAGGAATGTTTTTCTGTCCAAATATAGTCAGGATGACAGTTTTGCCTGTAGTCCAAATCAAATATCTGCACTTGAGAACCTGAGACCTCTAAAATTCATCAGAACTCTGAAGTCACAGCAGCAGTTCTCTGCACTTGGATAAAACCAGCCCCTGAAGGGGCTCAGGCTGCCTGAGAAAGCACAGAGAATATTCTCAGCTGTTGGAATAGACAGGGATAAAACTTCAGAGCTCTAACTCCTTGCCCTTGGCACAGGGCAACTCTGGCTCCCAGGAGGGAGTCTGGGGAGAAGTCTGAAAGAGGCTGAAGTTCTGCAAGTGCTATAGATCTGAGGCCACTGGTGGCTGCCCCAGAGAGTCCTTTAAGCACAAGTATCTCTTGGGAAAGCCATGAAATTCTTAACCCAGGGCAGAGAACGGGGTGAGACGTCAACAAATGTGCACTCTGATCCTAATAATCCTTAAAATACTTACAGAAGAGAGCTGTGCTTGGGATTTAACAATCACAGGATTCATGAATGAAGTATAAACCTGAAATTTTGCCTTTTACCAGTAGTGACACTGAGGATTCTGGCCAGAGCTGGTGCACCAAAGGATCCAGAGGCACGGGGACTTTATCAGGACTGTTGTTAGTGGGCACAGCATTAAGTTCATGTGTCCCCCTCAGCTCCACAAGCTGCATCTGTGAGTTCTGAACACCTCGGCAAAAGAGCTTTCCTCATCTGACTCTCACTGCCATAATAGCTGAGGTTTGTCTTGGCCTTACTGCTGAGCTGGTTTCTGAGCAAATATTTGGCTTAAATTTTAAAAAGTTTTGAAAGGACTAAACCACTGGCTGCAGAGTGAAGCTGGATGCCCAGGCACTGAATTTCCACATGGCTGGGCTCTGTGTTCCCAGCACATGGGGGGAGGCAAACTGAGCTTTCCAAGAAACCCTTTGCTCTCCCTTCTGAGCCATCGAGGTGTAACCTGCTTGCTACCTTGACAGGGGAGCAGGATCCTAAATGTCACAGAGGTCACGAGTCATCTCTGCAGCTAAAGATTCCAATTCACCCGCCACACGTGGCACAGGGAGGGAAGGAGCTAATACACAGCAAGGTCCCTTCCCCTTTCAGAACACTTCAGCAGCTGATGGAAAAGGGCTTGGCTGTGCTAGCTTTCAGCAGCTGCATGAATAAGTGCTCAGAAATAGAATAGGTCCTCAGGAATACACTCCTACTAAAGCTCTAGATGCTAACTTGGGGGAAAGCAGGGCAAGTCTGAGCAGAGATATTAGACAAAAACTTCTACTGTCTTTATGTTTGGACAAAGAAAATTCTTAGTTCCCTCAGGCTGTGTGGTTGTGTGAGCTCTCAGTCTGTGCTTTAAACCTCAGGTTCATGTATTCACCTTCAGAAGCAGTAAGGGACTAACTAGGTGCTTGGAAGATTTCAGGTCCCTGCTCTGCAAGATTCCATGCTCGACCTCAGGCAAGTCTTTTCTCCTGCACAGTACCATGGGTCTTAACCTGTAATGTGCAGCTGATGGAACTGCCCTGCCTCCAGGATTGATGTGAGATTGAATGCTCTGAGACCATGAGATGCTCAGATACTCTGGCAAGAGCAGGGGGCATATGTAACTGTGAGCAGGTTAAAATCTTTCACACACTGCTGACTGTTACTTGCAGAATGAAAGGCAGATGCACTTGATGCTCTTATGCAGGTCCATGACTGCAACTCAGTGTTCTTCCAGCACTCTGTTTGCTAGCAGTATTTCTCTTTCAAGCCAGTACTGCTTTACTGGCTGAAGGTTCTGAGCCCCAGTCCAAGGTTTTTACTTCAAGACTCCTTCTCAATCAGTTTTCCTGCAGATGTGTTCTCATCCACAGACTCTGATAAGAAGCCTGTTCAGGGGTCTGGAGACATTGGTAAGTTGCCCTGGTAAGTGTTGTTGCCAGTTTCTCACTTCACGTTGTGGTCTGCAGCTTAAACCACATCTGGAGGTGTGTTTGCAGCACTGCTGAGCTCTGACCGAGCCCTGCTCCAGCACTCGCCCCCAGGCAGCTCCCTGCTGCCGGCTGTGCTGCGGGGCAGAGCTGCAGCTCCCCCTGGAAGCCCTGCCTGGCAGCTGAGATGAGCCACATCTGGACTGCTGCAGCTGGCTGCTTGGGTCACAGCAGCTGGAGCCCTGGACCCTTGCTTTCTGCTCTTGTGCTTCCTCCTAGCTCCAGCTCTCCTGTGTAAGCCTATCCATAGCTTCCCTCCGAGTTGCTCCTTCTTCTGTCCTCCTCGTGGTATCGGAGCAACTGCTGCCCTTTGCCCACTCTCTGCAGAAGCATGGGATTTTTGCCTCCAGGGGGGAGCTTGGTGAAAATTGAAAAAGAAGAGTTTAATGAAATCATGCATGGGCTCATTGGCCATATTTATACTGAGTTGTTTAAAAGCTCCAGGCCAGATTTAGACTGAAAACACATGAAACTTATAAAGTGTTGCAAGCTCGATTATGAACTAGGGCAAACCAATTCAAATGGAACCATTTTTCATTATTAAAAGTGTAAGAAGTTTCTGAAGCCTTTCAAATGCTTCAGATACCCCCCGGAAGGTTTTACACTGACTGAACTGACTAGAACTGTCCCCTGCCTGCCACTGGATTGTGAACTGAGGTGACTGCAGAGTTCCTTCTCCTCTGCCTGGTCAGAGCTATGGACACCCCACCTGGGGAGCACCATGTCCAGCACTCAGTGACCAGACAGAACATTGCAGCTGCTTCTGGAAACCTGACAATTTCTGCATAGGTATTTTAAAATAATCCTGAATTGTCTTCAAGCCTGCAGCCTGGAGGTGCCTTAAAGAACCTAACAGCTTAAGACACTCTGACCCCTTCTCCAAGCCAGTCCTTCCGACGTGCTCAAGCTGAGGTACCCAAAATCAGGATGATTCTGAAAACACTTTTTTCTTTCTCAGCTTGATAACCCCTCACTGGGTAGCTCCCAAGTACACCAGAAATGTGCAGGTCGCTTGCCCAGTTCCGTGGAGGAGGGAGCTGATGCTGCCTGTGATCTGAAGCAGGGCAGCTCTGCCTGCTCTCACACAGCATCTCATTTTTCACTCCTCCTGAGGACAGCCCTTGACGAATGACAGCTCTTCCAGCCTTCAGCATCCCTAATGAAACATTCCAAGGGCATGATGCTGCCTTCTGGATTCCTTTCTCTGCCCCCTCCCCCAATTCTTTTTTCATTGCATAAAGCTGACAACTGCAGATTTGTCCTCTGCTCATTGTACAGACAGTGAAAGGAAAGAGTTCATGTCCATCCCAGCTTGTTTCACTTTGCTGCTTTCCTCCCAGCCCAACTTTCAGCTGCAGTAACATGAAACCATTTGGCAGAGGCTGAGAGAATCTTAGGCACATTGGAAGGAGGCTTAATGTAAAGTCTACATTTTTGGGTTTTTTTTCTTTTCTTTCTTTCTTTTTTTTTTTTTTTAGAGCTTTTTGAAACTCGGGTGGTTCTGCACAACTTTGGTGGTAGCTGCAGTGCTGTTCATTAATGCTCCAAATGCAACGGTGAGCAGAAGGATTACCAAGGCACTCTGTGAAGAGAATGTCTTAGTCCATGTCACATCTCCCTCTAGAAAGCATCAAAGGACGACATGGATCAAGCAGAAAAACTTTCTGCAGACAGAAGGAAGAGTTTCCTCTCAGCTGATGAGAAAAAGAGCAGTGGCTGTAGAACCCTTGTGGGATTTTTATGCATATTCCCTGTGGTGGCTTTGCTGGCTACTGTAGGAGACCCAGCTGGAGCTGCAGTTCAGCAGAGTCAGGTAGGAGAAAGGATTTAATTCTCAAATGCTTGAAAGGGGGGTGGGGGTGTCCAGTGTATGTGCATGTGTATTCTTTTTAGAGGACAGATACACTCAGGAGGCAGGCTAAACAGGATCTGAAGAGCTGCTAAGGCACAAGATCTGTTTATGGCTGTTTGAGCCCCTTTTTGCAAAGGATCCTAAAAGTTAATTAGGCATCCAAGTAGAATCAGGTCACTAGAGATGTGTGTGCAGCTTGCAGGGAGCACAGTGAATGCACAAAAGATTTGGGGTTTCCCCTCAGAGCTTTGGTTCTGGTAAGCACCTCTGGATTGCCAGCCTGGCATGCATTGGTTCTGATTTCCACAGCAGCTGGGCTCTCTGTGGAAGTCCAGAGGCAGGCTCATGGTGGAAGATCTCAGCTGGGAGTTAACACTGGACCTACAGAAACTCCTCTCTGACCTTGCCTCTCTTCCAGGGTCTGGCCTTAGCAGGGTGTGCTGGGGCAGACTGGTTTCCAGGGGGAGCTGCAGCAGGGCTTGGGGACTCAGAACCTGATCTTCAGTTTTGCCTTTAGCTTCAGTTTTGCTTTTAATTTTATAAAAACTCCCAATCTTCTCTAAGCACTCCCATCCCCTCCTGCTCTTTGTGTTCATGAAGGTCTGGCAGCAGCACCCCTTGTTTGCATCTCATGCTCAGGGCTCTCACTAATTGGTGCCAAGTCCCAGAGTTCTGTTACTGTTTGGTTTATAAGAGGGGAACTGCATGACTGGGAGAGAGGGGAATGAATGAACATTCATTAAAACTCAGGGAATTAACAGAGGGCTGAGTGGGCAGGGGAATAATGCAGAGCAGGGATGTTGGCCAGTCTCTGCCTGTGTAGCTGTTGGTGCCTGTTGTAGTTGTTGAGAGAGAGAGAGTTGAAGCTGTGTCCTCTGGTACCTCCCAAGCTTTTTCAATGTTGGAGAACTTAGCCTGCAGTCAAGTGGGTTTCCCACTGGCAGTGTCTGACCTCTCCTCCAGCTCTGGGTATTCCCATCCTCTTGGTTCTTTGGCATCCAGACAGATCCTTTGATCTAAACTATGCTGGGACATTTTGAACTGGGTTATTCCACTTCTGTCAATCCTGCATCTGAGCTGGTGTGTACCTGTGGTACCCCACCCTTCCCCAACCCAGTCTGCAACACACTCTGAATGAAAAGCATCCTGTGGCACCAGGGGAAGGTAGAACAGAGGCTAGAGTGGAGCAGAGCCTGGTGGAATGTTTGAGCAGGAGAACTCAGCCCTCTGTGCCTTTCATGAGCTTGTGGCTGGGTCAGATACAGGACTCAGTGACTGCTGGTGGGCCTGAGTCACCCTTACCTGGGTTTGAGGGTAAGGTCACTAGGGACACTTTTTTTTTTAAAATTAATTTTCCCCCTTGCTCATTCAGCACTTGGGGTTTTAAGCTCAACAGAAGAGACACTGATTTTCCTCCCTTGGGGCTGCAGGAGCTTTCCATGCAGAACAATCCAACAGGCTGTTTCACGACCTAATTTTCCTCTGCTGGTACCCAGGGGGCTTTAAGAAGAGCCTCAGGACTTCACCCTGTGCTGGTGTCACTGACTCACCCAGTGGCAGGGGAGGCAGACTGGGCAGTGTCAGGGGCAGTCCCTGGTCACTGGGGCAGCATCTGGCAGGGTCTCCAGGCTTCTCTCCTGGTCCTGCCTTTGGCTTGCTGGGAGACCAGGGATGTGCTGGTTTGACTGAGCCTGAGCTCTCTGAGTGGAGTGAAGAGCTCTCACCTCCTGCAGCGTGTGCTGGGAGCTGAACAAGCTCCTGCTGGTGCAGCTTTTGTAGCTTTGCCACCATATGTATTGCCTGGGAAGTGTCCTGGTGCCTCTGGAGCAAAGATGACCCAGAGATATTCAGTGTCTTGGTACTGAAAAGTGGAGGCAGAGCAGGTAAACTTCCAGAGAACTGTCCTGGGCCCCATTCTTTTTCCTTCCAACACAGGACTAAGAGGCTTTTATAGTTTGAGTCAGACTTGTCACAAAATTTGATGTCTTTTACTGTGTGATGGCTTGAAATGCACTCCAGGGTTTCCAGGGCTCCTATTTACTTTGAAGGCATTTCAGATCCACAGAGCAGCTTTTAAAGAGCTCTCTGCACAAAGAGGGGCCTGTTTTACTCATTTGTCCAGTACTCAATTTCTTGTGGTGAAGCTGGAGAGCAACAGCAAAGTGAAAAGGAAATGAAAACTTTCCAGGAAGAGCTGCAGCCCTGCCGTGGCCAGCAGCTCCCCAGGCCTGGTTTCTGCCCTGGCTGGAGCAGAGGGGCTGCAGGGCCCTGCCCTGGAATCACAGAGCAGCCCAGGGGAGCCTGCAGCACTGCCCCTCTGTGCTCCAGGGTGGAGGGGAGCTGCTCCCTTCCTTGCCTTGCATGCCTGATCCAAGATGAGCCCCAAGAGCCCCTCAGTATGGCCCCTCTCCTGGTTTGGTTTGGCACACCCAAGCAGGCACAGACCGAGCCCCTGGTGCACCGGCCCTGTCTCCTGGGCACCCATGTGGAGGTGCCCGAGGTGCTCCCCAGCCTCCCCTGCCCCAGAGCGGGTAGTTTTATGCTGTTCCACCCTCTGCTCTCTCCCATCTCTTTCAACCTCCTGTTTTTTCTTTGCAGGAAGGTCCCTCCCCTGCTCCTCCCGGGGTGGGTGGCTCTGCCCCCGCGGTGGCAGCCGGGGCCCCGGGGCGCAGCAGGAGGTACAGCATCACCCCGGGGCGCCTCAAGTGGGACCACTTCAACCTGACCTACAAGTACGGACTGGCAGGGCCCTGGGGGTCAGCAGGTCAAGTGACACTGGGGGCAGTGTTTGTAGCTGTTCAGGTGCCTCCTGCTCCCCGTGCTGGTGCTGGGTAGCTGCTAGAACCACTCCACAGCAGGGAGTGTTTCTACAAACGCTGCCACCTCTCACCCTTTAGGATGTGCTGGGACGAAGGGAGAACATAAACAGCATAGCTAAAAAACAACCAGAGGGGATAGCAGAATACACACAGCTTTTCCCAATTGCTCCACCTCAGGCAGTTTCCTGAATGCAGATCTTCCTTTGGGACAAGGTAAGTCTCTAGGAGCCATCTGTGTGTGTCCACGGTGCTGCCATCCTGCACTCTCACACATCAGCTGTAGCATGCCTGTGGCCCAAGCAAAAGCCTCTCTGGAGTCTCCCAAGTGGTGAGAGTTTTTTTAAAAAGGAAATAACTTGTTTTACTGTCAAACCTTTGATATCCTTTGGGATTCTCTTTCAAAAGTTCTGCCTGAGAGGATTATAGTTCAGTGTGAGCACCTATGTTGTAGCCTGAGCTATGAACAGGACGTCCCTGGCCTGCTGCTGAAATGCAGCAGTTCAGTTGTTCCCTTTCCTACCAACACTGCACGGGGAGGTGTTAGGGTAGAAATGGGTTTTTATCTGGTGTGCTTGAGGAGGGACAAGAGCTGTAATCCAGAACAGGTAGCTGTAAAGAATATCAGTAATAGATTAGTCCCTGGGAGGGTTTTATTAAATATTCTTAAATCCGGTTCAAGCTGCTCCTGTTTTGAACCTATCGGTGAATGGAGAGACGATTCTCTGATGTAGCCTTGAGAGCCTGCAGGTGTTTGAGAAGGGAAGAGCATTGTCCTGAGGTTGTTCTGTGTCCCTGCAGGATCCTGTCCTTCCCCAGGCACCTGATAAGTGCCAGGGACACCCGCAGGGGGCTGGCGGCCGCGTTCCGCATGTGGAGCGAGGTGTCCCCCTTCAGCTTCAGAGAAGTTCCACGCCACGTAGCCAGTGACCTGAAGATAGGTAAGGCTGTGGGGGCTCTGGGGGCTGTGGGGGCTGTTGTGCACCTCGACTCCAGCAGGGACCTGTGGGGTTTCAGCAGGTGAAGCAGGAGCTCGGGGCAGGAGGGTCCTCCCCTGCTGTACGGGAACAGCAGGGCCTCCTGGACAAGGAACATTGTGTTGCCTTTAGTCAGGTAGAGCAACTCCTCCCCCTTGCTTTAAGGAGATGTTAATATCCCAGTTAACACTGCCTGTGAATCTGGCAGTCGGGAAGCTGCAGGTATTTGACAAGACCTGACCCTCCAAACGTGCCCCTGGGACAGGATTATCTGTTCCCCAGACAGGGAAAGGGAGCAGTGCCAGGTGAAATGACACATCCAAGGTCACACAGCCACAGAGCAGGGGATGGATTCCAGATTATTTATGGGTTTAGTCTCCCTTTTGTTAATCCTGTTGAGGCACGATTTTCTCTGTCCAGTTGTAGCTGTCCCCTGCCCCTGTAGCAGTCGTTCACTCCCAGGTTCCTCAGGCCTAGAAGGATGTTTGTGCTGGGGCATTATCTGCTCTGTCTCAGCCCCAGATGTGAATTCTTCCTGGGTTTATGCTCTGTGTGAAATAGTTATTTCCTGTGCAGCTGGCAGCAGCAGTGAGAGCCACACACTCACCATTGTTTCACAACACGAGAGCATGTAGCCTGGTGTGACTGCCCAGGTCTGTCCTGCCCTGTCCTGCTGCCACGAGAGCTCCTGGTGGCTCAGCTCCAGTGGCCACAGGGCACACCAAGATGCTCTCATGCACTAGCACAGACAGCAAGCAGCCAGCATCCTTCAGGCTGGCTATTTGTGTCTGAAACGGAGCAATTACATCCTGGGGCTATCACCTCACTGTCCAGCTTCTCTCTATCCGGAAAAAAATTTCCCTGTGATGTTGCAAAAAGAGCTCAGCAATCCTTTCTGAGCAGGAGCCTCCTTTGTGTCCCCTGGGAACAGCCCCAAATCCAGGGTCTCAGTGCAGCTGGGGTGGAGTTTGTGTCGTGTCCCCATCCTCCTGGCAGCTGCTCTGCCTTTGCTTTCCTTTTGTGGCTCTGTAGGGGGAAAACACATGGGATGCCATAAGAGATTTTTTTTCAGTAAACCACAAGCTTACAGCTGTCTGTGTCCTGAGGGGGCTTACCCTGCTAGAAACACTAAATCTGGGGTTTTTTTTGACAGGCTTCTACTCCATCAACCACACGGACTGCCTGGAGTCTCTCATTCACCACTGCTTTGATGGCACCACAGGGGAGCTGGCCCACGCCTTCTTCCCCCCCAATGGGGAAATCCATTTCGATGACCACGAGTACTGGATACTGGGGAACACCCGCTTCAGCTGGAAAAAAGGTACCACGTGCCTCAGGGAGCACAAAAATAATGCCTCTAGGATCTGTATTTTAGCCCTTGTTCTGGGCTTTACCTGGGATGGGACAGAGACAACAGCGACGCTTGTGCTAAGACGATCCCCTCCTCGTGCTGGATGATGTCCTCTGTTTTACACCAGGATTGGCAGCTGTGCTTCAGCACACAGCACCCACTCTTCTTTCCCTTTCTCCTCCAGGTGTCTGGCTTACCGACCTGGTCCACGTAGCAGCTCATGAGATAGGCCATGCCTTGGGCCTGATGCACTCCCTGAACCCCAACGCCCTCATGCACATCAACGCCACCCTGACTGGGAAGAAGACCATCTCCCAGGATGAAGTCTGGGGGATTCACAGGCTGTATGGTAGGGTGGGCAGGGGCTCTGGGCTCCTGTGTAACGAGGGGTTGCCTGAAGTGGTGGCTGTATCCTGTGGAGCCATCGTGGTGTTAGACCCTCATCCTTGAGCAGAAGGCTGTGAGCGAGTGAGCAGGAGGGATTCTCACTCCTTTTTATATGAAGTAGAGCTAAAAGGTGGTGTAGCACTGTCTGCTCCCAGCACTGCCCTCTTCAGATGTGAGGGACAGGAGGCTGGAAGTCTTACAGAGCACCCCAGGTGGCAGTTCTGAGAGGTTTCAGACTGCTCAGACTGCTCCAAGCTGCTCCAACAGGACCTGGTGTGAGACATAGAAAGAGCAGCTCTCTTCAACCCAACACCACAGCATGAAAGCAGCTCAGTCTCTAGCCCCCCCCAGCTCAGTCTCTGTCACCCCCCCCAGCTCGGTCTCTGGCCCCCAGCTCGTACACTAACACTGTGTTTCCTGTGCTCCAGTGCTGGGTTCCTGGTTTAGATCCTTTCCTGTCCCAGCTCTCCCTTTTACACCAACAGCTGGATTCAGGTGAAATGCCAGTTGGTTTCCTAGGAGGAGTCTGCTCCAATCCCTCCAGTGCCTCCTCTCCCTCTGTTGCAGGATGTAAAGACAGATTGTTCATGTGCCCATCCTGGGCTCAAAAAGGATTCTGTGAGAAGAGGAGGAAGCTGATGAAGAAGCACTGTCCATCCACCTGTGACTTCTGCTACGGTATCCAGCTTCTCCTCTGGGATTTTTGGGGGGCTGTGCAGAGGGAGGAGGTAACAGGTGCCAGGGACAGGCAGTGACCAGCCCCAGCCAGCTCTGATGAAGCACAGCAGAGATGGCCTCTTAGGGATCTGAGCTGAGATCAAGCTTGGAAACAGGAACAGTGCTGATACTTCAACAGCTGAGGACTGGTACATTGAACTGTCCCACTCCTCCCTGGTTTAACTGAACCAGGGGTGGGGAGTTTCTGAGAACACAACTACTCCCTGTGCCTCAGCCTCCTTCTCTTTTGGACCACACTAATGTGCTCAGTTCAGAGGTGCAGTACAGTTCCTGATGCAGTGATGGGACATAAGACAACTGACATCTCAGGCACAGCTGGACTTGAGCTGCTCTGCAGAAAAGGAGATATAATTTATGGTGCTCACCTTACCTAGTCTCCCAGTTCTGTGAATCCAGATAAGGGACTCGTGCAGGATCAGGTCAAGTCCCTGCAGCTGTGGAATTCAGCTTCAGATAAACACCCACTGACCTTAAGCTGCACCATGGAACTGGGAGCTCTTTTTCCAGTACAGAGGTGTTCTTCCAGACCAGAGTAGTGCAAAGACCCAGACAGATAATTACAAACCCTCGTGTTCTAGGGGACTGTTCACATACTGAACATACACTCTGCTGTATAGATGAAAGGGGCAAGTTGATTTTTCTCTCAGTTAACTCTGCACCTGAATGATGTTACACTTCTATCCAGGAGCTGCTCAGTAGGAGGCATCTTTAAATTAGTAATTTAAGGTTCCTTAGGTGATAACATAACTCTGTGAAAGCATTCTGGAATGACTAAAGCTTGCTAATGAGATATGCTAATTTTGGCATTTCTTCTTCTCACCTCTGGGGGGTAGAATTCCCATTTCCAACGGTTCCCCCCACTCTGCCTCCTCCAAGGACCAAAACCAAGACTGTTTCTGAGGGCAGGAACGTCACCTTCCGCTGCGGGCAGAAGATAATCCACAAGAAAGGCAAAGTTTAGTAAGTGCTCTATCATTTATTCCAGTCCTTTAGGAGACTTTGCAGCTTGCACACCAAAAAGGATGAGGAAGGGTGTCAAAAAAGGGTAAATAAACTACATTCTTATCTTCTGGAGCACGTCACTGTCTCATCTGGCAGCCAGAGCACAGAGGGGAGTGTGTGGCCACTGGTGGTAACACTGCAGAGCATCAGTCTGAAAGCAGAGCTATCAGAAATGAGCCAGCTGAGCTGAAAAAGGATGAAATCCAATTCACATATTTAGCACATGGAAAATTCTTACCAAGTCAGATACCCATATTCTGGAAAAAAAAGTCTTAAATTCACCCTTTCAATTAATAGTTTGTTAGCTCTTATTGATGTGCAAGCAGGTTATTTTTGATACCTCTAAACGTGAGAGAGATGTGCTGAAGCCCACGAGTTAGTTTAGACTGAGGATCCAAATTCCCATCAACTTTCAGTAAGATTTAAGCTCCTAAATCACTCAGGATAGTGCCCTGTTGTAACTGCCATCAGCAGTCTAAAATTCTGAACCTTGTTTTGTTCAAGTCCCATCAGTGCTGTGGACTTCAGTAAAACTCACTAGGAAAGAACCACTAAAACATAATTGCATTGTACTTAATGGTATTGTATTTAATTTCTGTTCTTTTTTCTTATGACAGCTGGTACAAAGATAAGGAGCTTCTGGAGTACTCCTACCCAGGTTACTTATCTTTAAATGAGGATCACATGAGCATCATTGCAAACGCCATTAACGAAGGAACTTACACTTGTATAGTAAGGAAAAAGGAGAGGATCTTGACTACTTACTCCTGGAGAATCAGACTGAAGCACTAACAAGGGCCCTGGAAGGACCACTTCAATTAACTGCCAGTTCTGTGTCAAATTCAAAACATTTCTTTGGCATTTAATCTCCAGTAGTGCAACTGAACTTCTACATCAGCTCCTTCCACGCCTTGGGCAAGAGAGACTGAGACTCAATTACTGGAACATAAAACTCTTTCAAATTACTTTTAATGGTAAAGAATTGATCAAGTATGTGCTGTACAGAGAATTAAATTTTTTTTTTTAAAAAAAGAAGTCCCAGATTTTGCAGTTAAACTGTGTGGATCACTGCAGACTGCTGGAAAGCAAGAGCATGACCCATCAGCCCAATGGATAACAGCTCGACAGCTCAGCTGTGGAGGTTCTGGGGAAGCAAAGTGACCAGTTATACTCTGTAAGTGTTTTGCTGTCTTCTTTTAGATCCTGGTGCATAGCATTTGAAGAGCTTAAAAAAAAAGTGTAAGACCTGATATTACTTGTACCTGTCAGGAGGAGGATGTAAGGTCACACCAAACCTTCATTACTCCATTCCACACCTTGACATGTTCAGTTCCAGCATCCACAGAACATCTCTTTGCCCACCAGCAGCTTCCCTGTGGTTTGTGTTTGACTCCTGTGATCTTATCCCAATAGACTATTTACCTCCAGCAGCACCTGCTCAGATCTTGTCCTTCAGGGGTCTGATCCATGAGCCTGACTCCAGCAGAGAGGAGGTGAAGGTGCCACACCCAAGGGGAAGGCAGCACCCGTGGGGGCAGGCAGAGCCTGGTGCACTCACGTGTCCATGCCCATGGGCAGCTGGGATTCCTGGCAGTCCTTACATTAGGAAGATCCTTGTCCAGTATTAACCTCTGCCAGTGAAGTTCTCTGCTGCAGGACAGTTTTACCACAGCCCTGGCTGAGAGTACAGCACAGTGTAACACTTACAAAGGTCTCTGCAGGGCCAGTCAGCTCAGGATCACAAAAGGCAAGTGCTCCATGCAAAATATAGACAACTGAGACAACATAAAAGCTGAGCTGCAGTAACTGAACAATGCTGCACTACTCAGGGAGAGCTGGTATTTCCCTTCTAGAAAAAAAAACAAAAAGTTACATGTATCTCTCAAACCACCACTGCAATCCAGCATTAGGTTTCCTTTGTTTGACTAAAATGAGTAATCCTCTTTGTCAGCAACCACGCCGAGGAAGCTGGAAGGAAATGATTTCACAGAGCACAAGACCCACAGCATAGCTTGAAAGACAAAATATGCAGCATGTTCTGATCCCTCTGATCTTAGCACAGGCCAGGCAGAATGGCTCTGGGAGCTGCACACCCTGCTTCCCAAAGGGTCGCTGACCTCCACCTCTGAGGAGCCTGGCTCAAAGCATGCCTGTGTCTGGTAACAGACCAGTACTAAACTGTTTCTGCCCAGTATGACCCAGTCCATCAGGCTGGAGGAGAAAACAGTCCTGCATTCCCCTGCAGGACAAAACCCACCCTCTTGGTTTCAAAATTTACCACTTTTAGTACATCCACATTCCAGTTCCACGACCTTTACCCAGAAAAACCCTTAAATTTACTGAAATTGATAGAATGTTTATAATTTACACTAATCCCTTTACTGGCTGGGTGCCCAGCTCTGACTGCATGAGTACCATGGTACTTTCCAAATCATCCTGTTCCCAGAAAAGAAGCATCCCAAATCAGAGACCCAACAGGCTGGGATGGATGTTCCAACACGACTCCTCTGCCCCCCCTCTTATGAGAAAGGGCTGGAACAGCATGATACAGTCAGCAAAGCTAAGCTCTTTGTCTTTTAATGGAAAAAGGGCACATTTAAAAGAATTTTCTATAGAAAATAAAGTTTCGAGTCTCCATAATAAATCTTTTTGATTTATAAAACAATAGAGAAAATCTTTTGCACCAGTGCCATTGTAAATACATGTATACAACACAACAAACAGTGGTCAGCTCAGCAGTGCACCCAAAAATACTGTAATGGAGCCCAACCCAGCCTAGTGCTCTCCGAGGCATGCAACAGGGAGGAAACCTCAGCACTGTAAATTGTTCTGCCCTAACTATATCCAGACACAGACAATTTACTGAAAACAAAGTCAAAAAACACAGTTATTTGCCCAGGCTGATGCTGTGCTCTGAGTCTCAGCACAGATCTGGCAGCAGCAGGGGGAATAAGGTCCCACTCTAGAAGCCTTAATGCCACCAACATCCAAGTGTGCTGCATGTGAAGAAATGAAATCCTTCACACTCTTATGCAGTTAGAAATGTTATTTTAATTCTACAAATTTACAAGGAAACAGAACAAAACAAACCCAAAAAAAAAAAAAATAAACAACAAACCCCAGAAACTGTTCTGGGATTGTACTTCAAGTTTTACTTTGTCAAATTTGTAATGATCCTTGGCTGTTCAGGTAAACTCCAGTCCTCTAATGGAATGCAGCAGTTATCCTCCACACCCAGCAAGGGCCTTTGCCTCTGGGATGACATTGGACTTCTCAAAAATAAAACCATCTAGTCCCTCTGACCTGAAGAACAGAACTGGGGCACTCAGAAATCCACTCACATGAACAGTTCTCCTTTTTTTGTTGTTTTGTGGTTTTTGTTTTCTTCTCTTCTGCTTTGACCTTGAGTTTAAAACTTGAGGCTGAAGCCAGGTCCTGCAGCAGACGCTCCTTGGTTGGTGGTGGTCAGATGAAAACCTGTGTCCTTCAGATCATCATCACCCTGTGAAAGCCAATCACAATGCCTTTATCAATAAGAGTCCATGCAGATGCATTTCCCTCTCCACCACACACACACACAAAAATCTAAACACCAACAAAATAACCAAAATATCTCCAGGAGATGAGAAAGGCTGTTTGATTTACTGGTGCCACAGCTCAGGGCATTGCAGAGCAGGATTCATGAGCTTTAAACATTGTTATTTCCAAAGTTAACTCTTCTAAAGGCATCTCAAACATGTTCCTGGTTTCTACAGCTACTTCTGACTGCACATGTGACAGATGAGAAACAAACACTGTTACACAGTGTGCTCACAACTCATCCTGCATCTGATGAAACACAGGCTGTGTACTCCCCATGCCAGTTTTGATACTCTGAAAAAAAACAAGGCTAAACAAACTGTTCAGGCTACTCCAGCTGTTAAATTTGGTACAGTGCCATTTCATCTAGGCTGAGACAGGGAACTAGGACTAAGACACTGATATAATTAAGCTTGTACCATGCCACACTCACAGGGCATCCTTCTGAGCCAGCTTTTATCCAAAATGGACAGCACAGTGCCCAGCCTGGCCTTTTTGAATCCTCCAAATACTGAAAAAGGAGACTGTTTCTATTCACAATATCTGTAATACACTTACCAGGCTTTGGATTTATTTTTTTTTTTCTCCAGAATTCAATTTGTAGCTTTAAAAGCTTAGTTGAAAGTGTAAAATAATGTACACTTTCCAAAGAACAATTGTTCTGCATGGGGATAAAACCAGATGTCATTTCTTTCTCAGATTATGCATTGAAACTGTGATTCTGTGAGTGCCACAGTGAGTGGCCCCACCCTTTGCAAAGGGGCAGAGGGAGGGCTGGGCTCCTAGAGAGGCTGTTCCACACAGGCACAGGTGAGTCTCAGGATCCCAAGCCCCAGAGCTGTTCCAAACTCAGGATCTGGACGTGCCTGAGGACATGAGGAGTGTGTGCCAGCTGCCCTGAGCTGCTGTGCTTACCAGCTGGCTGTATCCAAGGCCCCCCTCGGGGGGGCGTGGGCTGGTGCCACGTTTGACCCTTTGCTGTTCACTTTTTGCTGGCCAGGTGGGAAACATGGAGGGGTCAATAGGCAGGGGAGTCTCTCGGAAATACTCGTGCTTCAAACCATCCTCAGCAGTAATTCTTCTGGCTGGGTAGTATGTCAGAAAGCTGAGAATTTAGGAAGAAAACAGATTTTGGGGGGGGGAGGCAGAAAGAAGAAAAATTTTAGCCCAGAAATGATGAATTCTTCAGAAATGCAATTTGAAAACAAAGAATTTATTACTGGACATGACTGGTGACAGGCTTGCTCTACCACTGATGAGATGGAAACCCATGCTTCCTACAGGAACCTGCAGTTCATGGCACTGCACCTGGAACCACCTCTCAAAAGCAGCTTTTGCAGGGGTCTGTTTACAGACATATAAATCTTTAGACACCTTATAACCTGTGGGCAGTCATATAGCTCAAAAGGGAGCCAGGATGGTTCAACTATATTATTTTACAACGTTGCTTTGTTGTTTTAGAGAGCACAACTGAGATTATACTGATGGACCACAAAATACTGCCACAGAGTGTAACTCAACTGTACAGCCCGTGCTTGTTTTAAACCTTTCACAACACAGAAACATGTTTTACTGCACTATTCATCCTACCAAACAGTATTTGGCCCTATGTAAACACTTCTATATCCAAGGTTTGTACATGTAATTAGTTCCACTGGCTTATATACACTTAATCATGTGTTTCTGCAAGCTATTTTTAGTGGAGACAAGTTCTAAGTAAGATCTGAAACAAACATTTCCATTACTTCATGCCATGAAATTTAAAGGGAATATTAGAGGAGGGAGGAAAACAAAAATCTCTCAATCCATTGTCAACATTTTAAAGAAGAATTCATGGGGATGCAATCAGAATGCACCAGCAGAGCCAGTGAGGAGGACTGCCAGAACAGCAGATGGGACAGAACTTGGAAAATCTAGGACAAAACCCAAGATTGTAATTTTCTTAATTCTTTATGTGAACAGATCTTTATCTGATGTCTAGAAGGTGCTGCATTTTTCCTTTTTTTCAGTCCTAATTTGTCCTAACAAGATCCATCAGCAAACTGCACAACAGCTGACTCACCACACAAACACGAGGTGAATGAGCTGATACTACCACTAAAACACTTTTCCATTTTTCTAGGCTATAGATGTGCAAGAATAGCCTTGGAGTGAGGTTTAACAGCAGCTGTTAAGAGCCTGGTACACCAAAAAGAGCTGTTGTGAGGGTGAAGTTTGTTCACTCTTTGCCGTTCCTTGCAACGCTATTCCTCAAACGCAGCAGCACATTTTGAGGAGGTTCAATGCACCACAATACCAGCAGTGCTGCCCTGAGAGGCCTCTCCCACCCCTGCTTCCCCAGGAGGCACTTACTTGTTCATCAGGTCGAAGCCCTGGTCTGAGAGGAGCGCCCCGAATCGCTTCCGCAGGTTGTTGTAGGGGTACTCGGTGAACGTCATCTTCTTCACTGCTGGCAGCTCGTTGTAACCAGGCCAGATCTTTTCACTCGGGGTACCCAGATCCTGTACATCAAAATCTCTCTTTAATAAACTCATCCTAGAGTGCAACCCTTCCACTTATTCATCGTGGGGCTATAGGAACTGATAAGTAGCCAGAGGAAACAGACAAAGCCCAAATCGTGGTCTCAGCCTGCTCTGAGCAGTGTGAACCAGGAACCAGAGCTATGAGCCTTTCATTAAGGCTGAATCTCTCAGAACAAGCACTTTGAATTTCTTACTACTCTAAGATGCCTGTGTCTAAAACCAGTCCGTTAGAACCCAAAGGTGTTAAAAACTTTACCTTAAAGACTTTGTTAATCTGGTCGATCTCTGACTTCCCTGGAAACAGCGGTTTCTGCGTTAACAGCTCTCCAAATATACACCCGACAGACCACATGTCTATGGCTGTCGAATATTCCTGGAAAGAAGGAATTTATTATGCCTTATAAAACCCAGAACATGCTTTCACTGAGTTGGGGTGGGGGTGGTTTTGGTGTGGGGTTTCACTTGGAGGTTTTAGGTTTGTTTTAGGGCTTCTACCACTCCGAAGCGAACACGAGCAGCCCGATACCCACAGCACAGGTCTCAGCTGTACTCCTTTAAAAGTTAAAATTACTGTGAATTATGAGCAACAGCCACCTACACAAACACTTCAGGATGAAACGTGGAAGCCTCCACGACCCTGTCTTTCTTTGCTGCTCACAAGCAGTGTCAGAGCCAGGGAAGCATTCCCACTTGCACTCTCAGCCTTAGCCCCTGGTTTGCCACCTCAGGCTGTGGGCACAAAGCCTGCTCTCCACGGTGCACCTCTTCCCTTAAATGCAGCCACTTTCCCTCCTACAAAACCATTTCTGAACAACAGCACAGGGCTTCTTTTACTTTTGCACCCCTTTTTTTGGTGGTAGTGCAGTATTTTTTTCTTGCATGGTTCACTGAAGCCCTAAGGACCCTGCTGATTTCACCCACATTTCAGACAGGGAACAGGTCCTCAGTGAGGGGAACTGCCAGAATGGTGCCAGCACCCTTGGGTGGCACACACTTTGGACTAAGGTTAAAAAAAACACCAAAAAAAACCTCAAAACAGCTGCCTAAGATGACAGTGGCAGTTTGCACCAATCTGTGAGATATCCAGCAGCAGTACCACGTCAGCATTCTAAAGGAGAAAAACTTCATCTGTCACCCACCCACCTTCTGCCTGTGGAAGGAGGAACCTTTTTAGCTGTGTCACCAGGAAAAATAATACTAAAGGTTCAGAGTTTCCACCTCTACATCAACAAAAAGAATCAAGCATACTCATACTTTGCTCATAAATTCTAAAATAAATTTAGCCTGGAAAGTCATTCCTTTAGCAGCCAGAGGAAGGAGGAGGAACATACCTTAGCTCCAAGCAACAGCTCTGGAGCCCTGTACCAAAGTGTCACCACCACTGGTGTGTAGGGCTTCAGTGGAGATCCATATTCTCGAGCTAGCCCAAAATCTCCAACCTAAATGAAAATGGGTCATCAGTATTTCCAGCATGGTCATACCCTGTACTATCAGTGCCAGTGTGTGTTGGCCACGTTGGCTATTGCATGGCTCCCAGCCTCCAAAAACAGCCACATGGAACACACTGTTTCCCATGAGCTTTGTCTTTTTCCATTGAAGGGAAAAAACATCTTTCCCTTCCTGAGGCCAAATAAGCCTTCCTGTTATTGCTCACCTCGACAGAAAGCTTACAGGGCAGGGGAAAACAAAACCAAAACAACAACAAATGCTGACTTCAATTCTGCAAGCAAGAAAAAAATTCCAAGTCCAGCTTTCCTGAGAGAGGGAAAGGCTTAACAGCAACCACTGTGCCATGTAAATGATGGCAATATACAACTGGCATCTAAGGTTTAGAAGTAAAAATTGAAATGTTATGTCCTGACCTCCTTAGAATCACAGAATCATTAAGGCCAGAAAAGACCTCTAAGATCAAGTCCAACCATCTACTGCTTTTCTGTTAGATTCTTCTCCAGATTTTTCAGTCTATTTAATAGTGAGTTCACTCCTCTGCAACAGTACATTTTACAAACCACATCTCCTGCCTCTGAAAGATCAATGCAAAACATTCTACCCAGCTGTTGACATAGCCACAATGCAGTGTAGTTCTGCAACACAGGTTCTCTCATAAACGTGTCCTATTTCATGTAATTCTTACTTTCAGAATGCCTGAATGGCTGAGCAACAGGTTGGAGGTTTTCAGGTCTCGGTGGAGTATCCAGTTGTCGTGCAGATGCTTGACTCCTCTCAGTAACTGAATCATCAAGGTCTTCACTTCACCTGAAATGAGAAAAAGAAACCAAATGCATTTAAGAGGATAAATCTACCTTGAGTTTTTGATCTTTTTTTTTGAGAATGGGGCATAATGTAGAAAGGTGTGTCAAGTTAAAAACACAGGGTGGACTGCACCATAAAAACGTCACAGAACAAGCACAGTTAAACCCACAGAGCTGCCAATAAAGCCAAAGTAACCTGGATAGCTGGAATGCACCCAAATAATGCTCAGAAATTAATACCTCTCAAAAACATAGGAAGTGGCCAAAATTAAACCCCAGGGCTCTTTTCCAGTTTAGCCCAGGCAAACTCCCTCCATTTCACACCTGAAGCCCCAGTTCACCCCGAGCACACAAACTGGACTCTCCAGCCAAATGCCACCCTGAAGATCAGCACTCCCAGCCCAGGATCCTGCCTTAACCTGTGTCAGGAGAACCAGACCAAGCAGAAAAAGCAGCAAAGCCTCTGTTCCATAGAGGACATTCCAAGGCAGCACACGTCACTGCACAAAGCCAGTTCCCTGATGTCAGCACAGCCCAAAGACACTGAGGTTTGTGTTGGCCACTTGTCCCAGTTTGAGAATTACAGGAGACTACAGCAAAGAGTACCTGGCAGAAATGGCTGCTTCATGGTTTCCATCAGACTCTTGAGGTCGTGTTCTACATAGTTCATCACAATATAGATTTTATCCATATTACTACCTACAACAATTTCCTAAAACACAGAAACAAATGATCAAAACAAGCAGACAGTATTTAAACAGCATGCAAAAGTTTTAGGAATTTACTGTTGAGAGGATAAACGGAACCTGCTATTAGTGAAATCCACAGAAAATCTATTTTTCTGTTGAAAAAAAAAAAAAGCCCAGCTCATTTCTGCAAAAGATCAGATTATGTAGAGACCATAATGTCTGTATAGTCTTACAGATAACACACAACTGTTAACAGAAACAGGCTCTGCTACAAGTACCACCATTTTTATAAAGCATTTTAATAGCCAAGAAGTAATATTTCAAGAATAAAAATACTTTTGATAGTGAAGATTGTGGACTTACTCTGACAGTGACAATATTGAGATGCTGTGCTTTCAGAATGGTGTTTATTTCCCTCAGAGAAGTGATGGGAAAGCCTTCCTTCTCCTTTTCCATTTTCAGTCGCTTCAGAGCCACGATTTCATCTGTGAAGAAAAGAGAATTATTAGCTGCAGATTTCCCATCACACAGCTAATAAAATGCACATTAAGATGTCCCTCAGTGTTCTGTCACTGGAGGAGGAACATATAATAACATAGGAAAGCCAAAATTCCTCCAGGGGCTTGCCAATACAAATCAGATAAGCAAAGAGGTTTGAGTTTTAGAAACATAAATACACTTGTATACACCAGAAGTGCTTTTTGAGAGCTTTAAAAATTAAGAGTGCAAATTTCTACAAGATACTGCAGTGTTCAGCCACTGCACATCAACAGCTGCTGTCAAGAGTTCTCCAGCCAGTCATGCACTTACAGTGACGCCTGGTGGAACAGTTACAGCCCATTTTGAAAGCTTCCACCCTGGTAACCACCTACAGCAGCTCTACAGCCAGCAATAACTGTCTTTCCAGCCACAAACTGAAAACAGACTATTCTTCCAAAAGTATTTTAGACAGATTTTGTTAAGGAAGGAGAAATGCAGAACTGTTCATTTGCATGAAACTGCAGCCCTAAGTATCATGGAGATAAGAACAGGAGATAAGAAGTTATACTCACCAGTCTTCTTGTCTTTTGCTCTGTACACTACACCGTATGTTCCTTCTTCAATCCTGTTCAAACACTGAAATTCCTCCACGCTACGACACCCCTGAAAACACAGACAGGCACCTTTACACCTCCAGCATCTGGGGTGGGCTTTGCTTGGGTTTTTTTTTCCAGAAGACGTACAGGAAACTTCAGCAGGTTCCAGGGACAGTCAAAATTTACCAAAAGAATTCACCAATACGGCCATGCCATGGGAGAAATCTATCTTTGGTATTTATTTTTACTTGGATCTCTAAAGGAATCCTGGACAGAGTCTGTGTTTTAGTTCATAAACTAAATCAGTGGGTCTTCAGTCAGTCACTTTTGCACAGAATAAACTGAGATATCTGCCAAAGTGGCCAAGGTGGCAACTCAGCACCTTAGACTGATGCCCTTCACATAGTTCAGTTAATAAAAATACACTTTCATATTTCTACACTTTGCTATTGGCTACAAAAAGAATAACAACGCTGCTCTCTCACAGGTTTCTCTTCTCAGATAGTCATAACAAGATATCAAACTATCAAATGTATTACTACATTCTTATCTCTGTCTAGAAGTTATTTCATTTCTGTTTCATGTATAATTTTTTCTGTGTCTTTCACACAGAAATGTGCATTTTGTGATGCTGAGTCAGCAAGGCAGGTTCTGCCTGTAAACTCTCACACACAAATGTGCTTAGGATGTTCACAAAGCAGCCAAGGAAATCCACCTGCCTATGATACCACCCAGCACCTTTACCTGAAGTGCAGGAAGATACTTGGGAAGCTCCTGCTTGGGCTCGATGGGGGAGGAAGCTGGTGAGTCAGGAATGTAGTCCCCCTCTGTCATGGCATTGGAGTGAGGGCTGCTCTCCCCCACCTCCTCCTCCTCCAGCTCGCTTCCTGCCGAATCGCGGTCAAACCTCGACTCTGTAACTTTAAAAGTCAGAATCAGTGGTGGAAAGAGGGAGATGTTTGGAGCAATTCCTTCAGATTTAGACAAACAGGGGCAGTGCAACACTGACCACTGCACACAACAGGCGTGCAACACGTAGCTTAGTTACTGTACCAATAAGGATCAATGAGAAGCCAAATTTCTCCTCTTTGCAGAGATGCTTTCAAGAACTCATTTACAGTTGTGTACAGACAATTTCCAGTGGTAAATAAAGGATGTCAAAAATAACTCTTTACTAAAAAAATTGAAAAAGAAAGATGACCAGTATATCTGTTTGCAAAGTTTTTTTCATGGGAGGACAGGGCAAGAGACTCAAAATGAAAAAGAAGGAAGCATGAGCTCATTAGACTATGATCTGCTTTCCTCTGAGCACAGACCTTGAAGAGAGTTCAGGGAATTTCTGATTCTGATGTCAGAATGGCCCCGAAATGCCAAATACACTATGATTTAGATGGTGGCAAAGCTACAAAAAGAAATCCATTTAAATTATTATTCTCAAGTATTCATCCAAACCCTTCTTCAAACAGACAGTATTTGCATTGTACCAACTGGGATGTGGTTTCCATTCTCCCGTTCCTCCTCTTCACTCATTTCTTCTTCGCTCACCTCTTCTGCAAAACACAATTTTAACAACTCAACAGCCCTGTAGTTCCCCCCGTGGCAGATCAGTGCTGAAATGCTCTCCTAGCCCACCAGGCTTTCTTCACTCTCTAGTTAGTGACCTCATACTTCTGTTTCCCTTGGAAAACAAATGCTTTCCTAAAGCCCCACAGAACTGCACCTTTCAGCTTCCAACAGAGAATACAATCCCTACCAATTGTCTGGAAATTTGGGGATGGGGGCAGGTGAATTAAATTAACTCAGGAAATAGGTATTTGCTTATTAAATGTTATTGATTAAAACAATACCCAGCCATCAGCACATATTTTTGGGGCTTGTCTTTACTAATTAATTACAAGAACACACATAAGTAGATTGGTTCACCACATCTTTTCTTATGATGGCATAAAAAAAAATACCCAGCCATCAGCACATGTTTTTGAGGCCTGTCTTTACAAATTAATTACAAGAACACATGTAAGCAGATTGGTTCACTACATCTTTTCTTATGATGGCATAAAAAAAAAAAAAAAAATCTGCAATTTGCAACTAAAGATGATTCAAAACGAGAGAGACAGTTTTATTTCACCACCCCCAAAATAAGCACAGAATTGTTCTCTACAGAATATTTATGTTACAAAATTAAACTGCCAGCCTTGCACCATTTAGGAAGACAAAAATGGCTTTCAGTTGCCTAGTCTGGCTTCTTGACAAGTAATTGGTATTACCTCTATAGAAAAGGACAGAATATGACTTGTACTTGGTATTTTTTTTCTTTTTAGTTATCTTGACCTGTGAGGTCTCAGCCTATCCTAGACTGAGAGAAAAGGAAAATGTTCAAATAAAATAACACAAAATGAGAGACAGAAACTCATACCACACCATTCTAGGACCTGCTTTGTGTTACTCACCAGCTGACTGCTCAGACACTTCCTCAGAATTGCTTCCTGTTTCCTCCTCCTCCTCCTCTTCCTCTCCCTCTTCCTCAGAACCTTCACTGCTAGATTCTTCCTCCTCTTCTTCTGAGCCTGACCCAGATTCTGTTCAGGAATAATCACACATGATTAAGTAGGCACATGCTCTAACAACAACATTTCCTCACCAGAGTCCTGCACAATTAATGACATCTGCTAAAGTGCATTTACTCACCTGATGAAGACTCTGCTGAGCTGGTTTTTCTCTCGCTGTCACTGATATCTTGCAAGTCTGAAAGAGGGTCTCTCTCCTCTGGTTTCTCTTCTTTTACTGCTGAGATCATAAAAATTAAAAAGAGTGCTGACTGAGTATTGCTTCTGCTTCCAAGACCCCAAATCCCCAGGTAACTGCTTTACTTCCTCTGGCCACTGAACTGATGCTGAACATTCTGTAGTGGAAATACAACAGAGCACTACAAAATAATCCACTCTGCTCAACAGACAAACAGCTTTTCTGGATTGCAGTGGTGCAGGATCAACAGCCAAACATGGGGAATGCTGACCTCTGGTTTTTTAAACATGATATATGCCCAAGCCTCTCTAAAATAAATTTAAAAATAAATATAAAAAAAGTAACATGGCAACAAGTATCAGCACAACACAGTCTCACTAACGTGTGTACATACAGCCATTGCTATTCTAATGCAGTCCCTCTGGAACACTGTGAACAGCATGTGGTGAGTAACTGTTGATCAGTTAGGCAGCAGCTTCCAAGCACTTGCTGCCTGCCTCCACCTGGGACTCCAGCCATGACACTCTGCAGTCAGCTCCCTTGAAATAGTTATGACTTGTACAGCCACACACGTTAACGAGGCAGACACAGAGCTTTTCTTATTAACCACACCCTTTTATGTCCATTGTGAAAGTCCTCTACTCACAGTCAGGATCTTCCAGGCATAGGGACAACCATTTTCTGGCTTAGAGAACAAAACTCACCATCTAACCAGAATACTGCAGAATGTTACAGAATACTTACTACCATAAGCATTTCTTTTCTTCTACAAGATGGCAATATCAGTGATGCTTAAGCTATATGGATCCCTGCAGGGTAACTTTAAGGTAGCTAAGTTCCTAACAACTGGAGCTAGCAGTGTAAACAATCTCCTTTTAATCTGCAAGGTTAATAACCTACAAAATTTTTAAAATTCAGCCAACTGCTTCTTTCATCGTTGAATGCAGTAACTCACTTTGAAACTTTTAAAATTACTGCTCCTACTGCTAAAAAGGAAAGATTCATTCAATTTGTCACTTGCACAATTACCTGCAGGACCAGCACTGCTTTATAAAACAGTCCATACACACTCATGAGCACTCCAGAGCTATGGCACCGTGGCTGAAGTGGACAACACTTTGAACAGAGTACCAGGGATAAAGGTTCACTGCTAAAAATGAAACACTGCCCCAGAACAGCTCCTGCTAGCCCCCAGGCAAAGACATTGTAAAGTGGCAAATGCTACCTGGTTTCCTGCTATCTCCTTGCTCAAGCTTGTCTCTCTGCTGTCGTAATGGGCTGCGACTCCAGGGTCTCATTTTTACTTTGTCTCCATATTCTTCCCTCACTGTTCTATGGTGTGCAGAAACTAGTGAAAACAAAACCGGAAGACATTGTTACAGCTCCCTGCCCTAATTAGGACACTCCTGTCTGCTGCCACCACCTCTTTCCATTCTTCTTCACCAACTAAAGGGTAATGGGAGGAGTGGAAGTGGAAGCTAACTGTATCTAGGAGAAAAAAGGACTAGGATTTACCTCACACACAGTAAGATATGGGTTTGTAGTACTTAGAGAAAGGTGCTGCCATACTTGGGAAACAGAAGCAAGATGTGCTCTATGCTGCACAGTAAACACCCTAAAACTAAGGCATTAATGCCAGAGAGAGAAGTGGACAGACTAGGAAGGTACATAAAAGAATAAAACCAGCTGAGGTTTAGAAGGAGCTGACAGAACATTTAGAGCAATAAGGATAACTGACATGAAAGGCCAGACAGATTAAGCAGTGTCAGTGTAGATACCCAGCACAGAACAGAGCTATTTAGTATGAGCTGAACCAGAGAGAACAGCAATAAATATGGCTGCTTCTGCTACTCTTGAACAATCCTCATCACTTGATCACAGGAATGGGCTCTGTTTTTTACCTCTGACAGCTGGGACAAAGAACAACCCTCTAATCAACAATGATGAGCTTAGATTGCAAGGATCTGACATGTTATGCCAAGTGAGGGTTCGGGTGTACAAGTTGAACTGCTTGGCTACCAGATCTTCCCCACTTGACTCCCACTACAGCCTTTTCCATGGTTGGAGAGTACTTGCATGATCTCTCTCCCTGCCTCAGCAATTTATTCCCCCAAATCCTTAAAACACTTCATTCTGAGACTTCAATCTCTGTTAAATTGAGTTAGACTCAGCCAGAGCTCAGAAGCGACTGGGATCACGACGGGCACACATGCACACACAGAGACAGTGCCAGCTACACAAAGCTGCTTCTGTAGGAAACCAGACTAACAGAGAGGCAGAAGACAACTTGCTAATCAATATGCTGTGACATTAAGGCAGTTGAATTGCTTCATTTCCCCATATAGAATTCAACAGATTCCCCTCCCCCTTGCAGAAGGCTCCTGTGCTTTAGTTTTTTTTAATCCCTGGCACTGACCCAAGAACCAAACGCCTTCTAAAGCCCTGTGCCACCACTCTCAGCAGACAGGAGGCCCAGACAGCATTTCTGCAGAGACAGTTACCTTCCCTCCTGGCCTCCCTCTCCTTACGCCTCTCCTCAGCTCGCCTCTCTCGCTCTTTCTGCTCCCTTTGCTCTTTTTGCTGCTCTCTGATTTTCCTCTCTCGTTCTCGCTCCAGTTGCTCCAGACGATCTCTAAGAAAATAAATATTTTTGTTAGGTTCACAGCTTATCAAGTAAAGAACAGCTGCTCAGCTGGGACTGACTACAGGGCCATTCAGTTTCGTTAGCAGCAATCCCACTGATTGCAGGGCAGGCAAAAACAGACCCAGCTTTTCAGCTGCTCCTTTAAAAACAGTGTTTCAAAGACAAAGACCAGGAGCTCTAAAACAATCTTCTGCCCCCTCACCAGGATTTACACAAGAATAAACAAGTTCAGTTAATAAACTCCCTAATACTATGCCAATCTGCTTAATTTTTTTTTTTTCATCATAGCAAAACACTGGCAACAAATTGACCTTGAAACATCTGTTGCAACAAAGCCACTTCTAAAGGTAATCAAAGCCAAGGAGATATTTCATCAGACAACACATCCACAGAACACAGCACTGCCATCACACCTTACAAGTTTTTGCTCTGAGTTTTTTTTGTCATTTCAAAACAACGAAAGGTTAGAGGTAGAGGAGAAAGGTGTAATCTCTTTGTTGGTTTGCCACAAGGGAGGGAGGGACGGGTGTACCTCTCCCTCCTGGAATGCTCCCTTGCCATTTCTCTCCGTTTCTGTCTCTCCCACTCACGACGGGCTTTATCCTGCTCTTCTCTATGCCTCTTCCTACGCTCATGCTCCCGTTCTTTCTCTTTCACTCTGGCATGTTTCCCTAAACAAACAGAAATCAATTTTGGAGTGTTACTAGTCAAAATATTTAGCGCTCCTATTTTTTAAAAAGCAAAACTAGAAAGGATGAAACTTGTGGTGACCTCTTTTCATGTACTCTTGTTATTTTCTTAATGGAAAAATCCTGAGCTGAAGGCGTGTTGGAAAAATAAAAGTGTAACATCTTGCACAAATGCTTCCATTAAAAACAGGAAAAGCCTGGTAGTAGCAGGAATAGAACATAAATGTTTCTAGAAAGGGTATTTTTTCCTTTATAGTCAGGTATACAGATCATAGCTCAGCCCACTCACTCAGCAAAGCCAGAAAGAAGTTTAACAGACTCCAAAGTGTAAAAGTAGGTTTTATATTCCTGTCCCAAAGTGATTGCTGTCCTCTGAAAACACATACATACCCCTGTCATTGCCATAAGGGCATTCAACGTAACTGAAGAAATAACACACGTTTAAACTCCTTTGTCTTATCCACCTGACACGTTTCCTCCAGTTTGCAGTAACTGTTATTTCCACCCCACAGTGTGCCAGCTCAGTTCCCCCCGGGGCAGCTGCCAGGATGTGCCCAGGTGCAGCAGTTACCACCTTCTGCTGAGTGGCTGCGATGTCGCCGCTTCTCTTTCCTCTTCTCGTCCTTCCTGTGATGGGTTTTCTCCTTCCGTGACATCTGCTGTGGGGGTTTAATAGCCAAGGAATCATCTTCTTCACCTCTAAAACACAGGAGAAATTAATAAACTGGGGAAGGTTACGTGGAACTGTGTGTTACTTCCTCCTTTCTCCATTTTGAAAAAAACGATTTTATTTCTACTTCATTAATTTATATTAAAGTTCATTTCTGTAATACCTCTGGACCAGTAATTCTAAAGGCTAATTTGAGCAACTCTTCCTAAAATAACCTTATTCTTTTTATTCTTACCTGTCTTCCATAGAGTCTTCTCTCCTGTAAGGTGAATTTCTGATTGTTATTTCCATCCGATGATCCCTCAGCTCCCCCTCTTCCAGAGAGTCCCGCTTTGAATCCCTGTCATCTGACTGCAAGGGGAACACCAGAAAAACCCAACTGCAATGGACTGTTATGTCACAAAATGAAAACAAAGTAAATAATACTCATTTCTGGCTGAAAAGCCTTCTCAGCTGGTCACACCAGTACCGTACACTGACTTATGAAGCAGATGTGTCCTCGCTGTAAGCAGAGGAATGCAGTTTGCTTCCAATTATAGCTGAACTGCTGTAAGCTCCATGTAATTAAAACTAATTACATTAGTGATTAACGTAGTGTGATTAAGGAGAATTGCACTATTGTGATTTTTTTCCAAAAGAATGTTATTTTGTGGATATTGTACAAAACCAAATAGTGATGTAAAATCTATTCAGAAACAATTACTTAAACCCTTTCTTCTATAAGATCTTTGAAAGCTTGTTACTTGAACAGCAATCATAGGAATTTCTTTACCTTTTCTAACCAGTAGCTATAAAACAAAGCACAATATACAAACATAAGGACAACAAGATCTTAGAAAAGCATCATATTTTTGTTAAACTTTAGAATTAGTGAACACACAGAGTAATTCTGCTGACAGGGGAAGAGGCCTCGTTCTCACCAGGCAATGAGGCCACAGGCACTGAAGCTCCTCAGGTGCCATCAGAAATGTTTATATACCAAACAGTAACTTACATTTTTCATACGTTTTATCTCTGCCTTCTCTTCCTGCTCCTTCCTTCGTTTTTTTTCCTGAAGAATTTCATCTAAAGTTTTCACTTTCCAAGAATCCTTTTCATCACCCATTTGAGTTCGAAAAAAAAAAAAAACTCTGAAAAAAACACAAGACAAACCAGGACAGGCATGAACCCCACAGAAACCTCAC